CTTGTTAACTACAATATATGCAGTTTTTGGAGTCGAGGAAAATGAACTCGACAGAAGCTCCGACAACTTCACCAGAATAATTTTCTTCGTCTCTTCAGTTATGAAGAAAAATGTGTCCGCAGATGGATGAAATGCGAAAACAGGAGTGACCTATGACTCTAAATTAACCATTCCAATCATAAATTCACATGCAAAATAGAAAAAAATTGCATAAGAAAGTTCTTTTAAGTATTCCATTCAGTTAATTCATTTGATAGACAAGAAAGAATAACAAGAGACTGAATTTTAATTGAAGGATGAAAAAAAAATGTCACAATAAAGTGAAAAAACAACAGCTGAAAGATGATACATTTATAACAAGAGGACTACACAAATCTGTCATCTCATCCAAACAATTATCAAGCCTGAGCGTTATGTACGAGAGAAGCCAGCCGGCATGCCCAAACCACTCACACACACACACACCCCCATCTGATAGCGGGGCGCACACTATTGAAGTAAAAATATAACGTTTTCCGAAGTGGGTTTATGTACATATCTCGAAAGTCTGCGTTGAAGTACCTCAGAACTCTCTAGATGCCAGATGTAACGTTTCACTCTTGTTTTTTATGCCCTTTAACAAACCGTATATAAACTCCACTGACGATCATCCGCACACTTGGAATTGATAAATGTGATATTAATATATCACAAAGAAATATTGATGATGCTAAACATTGGGTGAGGCTGTGGAGTGAGGAGAATTATGCGACGTATGTTTATTCATTGTTTCAACATGTTTATTCTTGATTTAATGAATAAACAATTCGCTTCAACCATTGATTTTTTCCTGGAGTCGAGTCAGGTTTGAATTGTCTCATCTTGATCTTATATTAGGCAAACGTCGGCTGCCAGCGTTGTGCCGACATTCGGAGTCCTCAGCCTGTTGCGTGAAAAATATATTACACACTTGACAAACGAAGAAAATGTGTAGAATTGGCGCACCATAGCTTGCCAGGGTTCGCCCAACATTGTGCCGACACTTGTCAATTTTCCGTGAATATTATGTGCTCCAGTAAATAATGATCCCAAGGGGCCCAAGGGCCTTACGGGGCCCAAGAGTCCTAAGAGCCTAACGGGGTCCAAGGGTCTTACAGGGCCCAAGGGTCCAAGGGCCCTAAGAGTCAAAACCCTGGGGTTAGCGAGCGGAGGGCGCCCCCTTGTAAATGATGAAGTTTAATAGACCTCGTAGCGGCATAACCTTGGCGCAACCGTGGCTTGCCAGGTTTCGCCCGACGTTGGGCCGACACTTGCCAGTTTTCATCAAATGTTGAATATCTCAGTAAATAATGATGATACGAAATGAAAAATCCAATGAATCTCCTTTCTTGCGGGGAATAGTCACCGAATTCCCTCTCATTCTTCCATTTTGATGAAAACCCAAAATTTTTTTTACTCCAATTACATTTTCGCTGATGTATATTTATGCACATATATTCGTTATTCAACACACCATTAAGTACACATATAAGTCCAGGCAAAGGAAAAGTGTTTGGTCATAAATCGTAATTACGAAGCGGCGCGACCGAGAATTTGTCACAGGAGCATCCATCAACTGACTACATCTGTGCGACGCCCGAGAAACGCCGACTATGCTCATGTACTTGAAAACCATGTGCTAAATATGTATAATTCACATGGAAAATGTGTTTTTTTTACGTCTCTCTCAAGGCAAATACCTTCAAAAATTAATTCGTCGGAACGTTGAAAAAAGAGACGACGAGACTGATATCCTAATTAAATTAAGAGCACATGCTAATATTAAAACTCAATATTTTTTGCAGCTGTGTGTGGGGTTTCATCAGAGATGGGAATACGATGCCTGAAGACTTATCGGAGCAAAAATGGTGTTCCTTTCTGGGCAGGTTTTTTTTTTCGTCGATTGGTATGTATTTGAAATATATATATGATACTCGGGGGTGAAATATTGAAATATGAAGCCTCTCTGGACGCCCTTTTTCGGAGGAATACACCTCGTGGGGACAGCAGATGGTGAGAAAAATTGCGGATAATTTGAATCTCTATCTTTGGAGTATAATAGAATTCTAAGGTGGTGAGTGGTCGCAGTCGGTGAATAGACCATGCAGAGGAAAGTACCCGAGATATAAGTGAAATTCTTCAAATATAAAGGATCATCCCTTCTATTCAGAGCTGTGAATATAAATAGGAATGGGCTTGGGGGGAGGGGGGAAAATTCATTAAACTTCAGTGGTGGTACATTAAATTTTGAGGAAAATTTATGAATACTTCGCACTGAAGAATTCCTGTCGTGTCGGTTTGTAATTGAGGCGTGTTCATTGGAGATTACTTGAAAGGAAATTGCTCAAACACAAATAGACACGATAAATATGTAAGGAGAGATAATGGCCTCTTGACGCTATCTCTGGATTTTATTTCTTCTACTTCTACTGCTTTGAAAGATGACCATGTGTAGCTTGAGAGGCTGCGATAAGGCTCCTACATGCTGCATGTGAGCTGATGTAAATCGATCTCGTATGCGCTATTGACGGCTTCCCTTTACCTACGTTTTCAGGAAATCAATAATTTTAGGGCGATTTTTGTTTTGTGGAGAAGTTGGCGAAATTGGAAATTGAAATTGGGAATTGGCGTTTATCTGGGCTCTGACCCTCATGACCCTTAAAATCGATCGGTCACGAACGATACTAGTGGCAATATGGCCGCCAGACTTCGACTCACAAGATGGCCGCCAGATCCCTGTTCACAAAATGGCCGCCAGAAACCGAATTTTAAAACGATTTATTTTGTTGAAAAGTTGATCCTCATGACCCTCACAATTGATCTCGAAATCCCTTGACGCGAATAATTGATTTAGAGATTGGAAATTGCAAATGGCGTCGTTTTCAAAAGATGACAGCTGACACAATATTTTTTACGATATTTTGGCGACTCCCAGGGCAAACCGGTCATTCTCCCCATTTTTCTATTTTAAAAATTACTCGAGGTACCGTGAATATTCCCAAATCGCTATTCACAAGATGGCCGCCGCATTCCTAATTTTAAGACGATCTTTTTGGATGAGAAATTGACGAAATGCAAAATTGAAAATTGACCCTTTTCAGTGGCCAGACCCTCATGACCCTTAAAATCGGCCCCAGACTCAAATAATTGATTTAGAGATTGGAAATTTCAGAAGGCGTCGTATTCACAAGATGGCTGCCACAGTAATATCCACAAAATGGCCGCCATACCTACCTTCCCAATATGGCCGCCATAACCACATGACCGCCAGGACAAGCCTAACCCTAATCCTTTACCCAAATAATGAATTTCACAATTTTTGCAACTGCCGGGGCAAAACGGGTCTTCCCCCCAATTTTCCATTTTGAAAATTACCCGTGCCGTGAGTATTCCCAGAACGAAGAGGACCGTTGAATATAATATAACTTCTGGGAGTGCAATTCCCAATTTTTGAGACCGTTTTAATAGAAACCGGAGGGTGAGGCAGTGCAGAATACGAAATTGAAGGGAACAAGGGACAGGGGGGAAAAAAAAAGGAAACCAGTGGTCTCGATTCAGCTCAATTTTCTGGAGCTTGCGAAGAACAACAGCTGCCTCCAGGGTATGCGAATTAAATATTTAAGAGTATGGAACTAAGTATATGGAGTGGCAGGTCCACGCAATACTTCCAGACAGACGAACATACAGACAATTGTACTCAGGGGTTTATACGTATATGGTGACAGATGTTGGCAGGAGACCGTCTATAGTAGTAATCCCACTCAAAAAGGGGTAGGAGTGGGCGGCGGGAGGTGCGGTGGGG